ATTTAATTCTTTTCGATATTTATTTGCTTTTAAAATTATATTAATAAATTGTAATAATAACGCACATTTATGCATGAAAAAAAATTGATTATGCTAGAAACACTGTAATTTAAGGAAAATGGATTATGTATTTATTTCGTAAGAAAAGGCAGAAATAAGAAATGTTTCAAATATTGTAAAAATACATAATTACTCTGTCAAATGTGCAGAACGATTTTATGTTTCACTTTTACGAACAAAAACACCTAACAGTATAGCTGACGTGTGGAAAAATGTTTTGGTGAACATGTCTGACTTTAAAGAACTGATACCGGAGTTTTATGACACGAACAATGATGGTGACTTTCTAATGAATAATTATGGTATTGATTTTGGCTATCGACATGATGGTACAAAAATAGGCGATGTACAACTACCTCCTTGGGCAAAAGGTAAGATAAGATGTTTAATTATAATTATCATTAGTCACTTATATTAACGATTAATCACCATTGTATATTTTTCAAAATAGATAAAATTTTAGATTTTACTCTAAGAAGTACTTTATTCATTAACAATATTCTTGAAATATTTCTTATGGCAAATAGTTACAAAGTAACTATCAATTCTGCATCATATTTACATGTGATCAATTGTATGATTATAATTATAATGTTATAAATATTTAATATTTAAGATAAAAAATTAATATTAACTGGCATATTCTAGGACCAGCGGATTTTGTACAACAATTGAGAAATGCCTTAGAAAGTGATTATATTTCTCAAAATCTTCATCATTGGATTGACCTAATTTTTGGATATAAGCAAAGAGGAGTTGAAGCTGATAAGGCTGACAATGGTAATTCAATTTTTTGTATTTTTTTATAGTATATTATAATAGAAATAAAAAAAATTACAATATTAATTTAAAGTATTGTTAAAATTTATAGAGTTAAAATTTATGATTGTTTTCCAAATTTCTACAATATATATTTGCTTTCTTTGTAGTATTTTTCCATTTGTGTTATGAAGGAGCAGTAGATTTAGATACTATACGAGATATAAATGACAGACATGGTCTCGAGGTGCAAATAATGGAGTTTGGGCAAATACCAAAACAAGTTTTCACTTTACCTCATCCCAAACGTTTGACATTAGCTCCAAATTTATTATACAGTGAAACATTATTGACTTCACCAGACACGATAACTTCAGGTATTATGTCTTATATATACTTTTTTCTTAGCTATTCATACAAATGCGCATGTATATATGGATATAATATAGCATATTAAATATTATTAATTTTCCAGATAGTGCATGCGTAAACAAAAAATCAATTAATTTTATTGAATTAGTAATGTTTCAAGCACATAAAGACTGTGTCACCAGTATTGTACGAAAAAATAAAACGAGTAACGAAATTATATCAGTAGGACAAGATGGAACGCTTAAATTGTATAACATAAGTGAGAAGAAATTGACACGTAGTGTTACTTTGTCCTCGTTGTCACTGTCATCTTGTATCTCATACTGTACGCTATCGCAACGAAACATTCTTGTAGCGGGATCATGGGACAATACTTTGTAATATAACAGTGATCAAATTCTATATATAATTATAATAACAATATATAAATTTATTTATATATAAATCATATATACATTCCTGTTTTTTTTTAGATGTCAAATATATAAATTTTATATGCGATACAAATTTAAAGTTATACACATATCTTCTCTCTCTCTCTCTCTCTCTATATATATATATATATATATGTATATACACATAAAATGATTCGAAAGTCTTACAAATTTTAACCATGCTGTATTCTATTTAAGGATATTTTACGATATCGAATTTGGCAGAGTAATTGATGTTCTACAAGGACATGAAGATGCTGTATCGTGTTTAGCATGGAGTTCTACTCATCGAGTGATTATATCTGGATCGTGGGATTGCACTGCAAAAATTTGGCATGAGTACACTTCTGGATCAAAAATTAAACCTACGGAATGCTTTATCGCACAATTAGATCATGATTCCAAAGTAACTTGTATTAATATATCAAGGTTAGATATATCACTTATGTGTAATAATATAATAAGTACGTAACAAAGATAAGAACTTTACTTCTTAAATAACAAATTAATTTCTGCTAATAATATAAACGATATATTACTGTGTTTCATATTTATAAATTGAATAAATTCTTATACTCCCGATTATGTAGAGACGATACTATGTTAGTATCTGGTACAGAAGATGGCGAATTATGTTTATGGAGCATGAACAGTTACAATTTACAATCAACTATTAAAGGTAAATGTGTTTTCGCTTATTTTCATGCTATGCTTAAAATTACTAAAAACGGCCATATTAAATAGTTGTAATATACATTTGAATAAAAAATTACAATGAGATATAAGTTTATACAAATCTTTGTAAGTCTTTTTATATCTTTTATATCTTCATGTCTATTTAATCGTAGGCTAGAAATGTGTCTAGCATTCCTACGATAGATTTACTAATTTTATAAAAAAATCTCTATGTTTATAAATAATAATATTAAATGTATATCGTGCAAACATTAATTCTTATTGTTTTATATTTTATGATTAAAAATACTTTTGAAATGAAATAATAAAGTTCTCTATTACCATTAATGTTTGTCGTCATTTATTGTATAAAGGTCACACATGCAGAATAAACGCTGTAATCTTCGATAAACAATGCAGCAGCGTCATATCATGTGCAGAAGACAAAGTATTAAATATAATCGATGTCCGAACAAGTACACAGATATATTCAGTCAGTTTAGAAAGCGAACCATTGACATTAATATGGATGGGAATATTCTTGCTAATAGGTGATAACGATGGAAATCTTAATATCTGGAATCATCAGGAGGCTGTATTCATTCCGCAAATACATTGCCACGATGGTAAATTTTGGATACTATTATAGTATGACATATATATATATATTTGCATATATTACTAAAATAATTTATAGTAAAAGATTTTGATGTTTGAATTTATATTATACTATATCTTCTTTTTATTATAGAGGCTATGTTTAGTTTGGACACTTTCAATGCTTCTATCCTTGTTTTATGTAATAAATAATAGAGATAGAACAACGGTTATAAGCGTTTAAAGTGCATAAGCGTCCAAACCGAAAGCAGCCACAATAGAATTTACACATACATTAATTATTAATACATTAATTATTGACAATTTATAACATACATCTTTTCAGGACCGCTTTGCGCCTTGGCTGTAACTGCAGATAGTAATTTGATAATAACAGGTGGAAAAGATAGAAAAGTCATCGTATGGAAATGTCATAATCACTGACACAGTATTACAAATAATCACTATCAGTGTATAAGAAAAATTATAGATATGTAAATATATAGACTGTAGAGAGGCCTAACATAATATTTTTATTACTTATTATATATAACAGTATATTCTAGAACTAGATAATATTATAAAGTCGCATATTTAAAGTAATCTGAAAAAAAGGATTTACAAGCATTGATGCTCATACAAAAATATCTATAATATATGCTCTTAAATTGATTCTTTTTTAAATTAGCTATTTTTAATATATATCACAAACTTTTGAATTTTTGAAATGTGTGCACATTTTACATTCGATAAACAAAAAAGATTCTTTTCTGTAAACTATATATTTTTAAACTTCTGAAATTGTTTTCTCTTTAATGATATATTTATATTTCTTACATAAATACACACACTTCTTATACATTGAATGTAAAAAAAATACAGCTGAATGTATCAGGTCTATATATTCTTTTAATAGAATACCAATTTTTACATTGATAAAATTTTTATATAAATTATGTATAAATACAAGATGTTTTAGAATCTATGAGACAAACATAAAAGGATGATAGATCTCATTTAAAAAATCAACTTTTATTAAGAAACTTTTGTACAATACATTTTAAGGAGTTACATGTTTTTGTTCGGACTAACTCTAAAGACCTAATCGATCATGCGATATTGTGCAGGAATATTGATATCTTTTTACAAAAACAAAAGGATGTGAATTAGTATTGTCAGATATTGCGCAATCAGATATGTCCTTAAAAAAGTGCCGATACGAGTTCCTTAACAAAAATTAATTCTTTTGGTAAGAATCTATTATTCCTTGAAATTTGTCCCAGTAAATCTAAAATACTGTATACTATATAATGTACATGTACAGTGATATGTAATGTTACATTCCATTTTCGTTTGCAAGATAATTAGATATTTCTTATCTATGTGTGAATCAGTCTTCCTATCTTTAAAAAAAAATAATTTCATATTATAAGCTATTATATCATTGTGTTTAATACAGGATTATGAACTCTTAAACGTTTAGTTGCAAATAGGTATCACTTTAAATTAAGAGACATTAAAATTTGTAACATTAAAAACATTAAATTAAGAACATTAAAATTTGTACTGTGTACACACACACACACACACACACACGCACGCGCACACACATACACACACACACACACACACACACATACACACATACATACATACATACATACATACATACATACATACATACATACATACATACATACATACATACATACATACATACATACATACATACATACATACATACATACATACATACATACATACATACATACATACATACATACATACATACATACATACATACATACATACATACATACATACACAGATCAATATATATTTATTTCGCATGAAAAGAAATTAAAATAGAAAGTTATATCTGTATACAGACTATATGATCATTTTATGTGACTGCTGTGAAAAAAAAATTAAGATTTGATTTAAAAAATTGACTTTAGCCATTATGAATTATATAATATTATTCACAAAAAATTAATAGCCAAATTTTATACGGCTCAACACTATCTTACATTAATTTTATAACAATCTCTTAAAGTGACTAGCGTGTATGCCAGAAATATGACAGTAAATGCTATGTAAAAATACTGAAATACAATGATTCATTATTATATTCATATAAATAACAATGACTAGTACAAAACATTACTACAAACATAAACCTCGAATAATAACTTTCGTTTCCATATATGATATTTTGACATTTTGACTGTTCATTGATTTACAAAAACTTTTTGTGCAGAATCGAATTATGTATAAAAATGACAAAATAATTGAAATACTTACATATAACAGTGTATGATTGTGTCATAACTGTATAATAATATATTGAATGTAGATATAATTTGTAGTCTTTATCAATTAAAATAATTTGTGGAAGCTTGTACTTTGGGAAGCTCTTAAACTTTTCTGATTACTTTCGTTTTTATACCTATTTCTACAATTACTTTAATGTTGAAAAATGCTGTATCTAATTCATTTATGTGCTTTAAGTTTACTTATTTTATATGGCATTAAGGTAACTAATCAATAGTCACTTTCACAATTAAACAATTATATACAATTGAGATTATCAGATAGTAATGCTAAATTCATAATATAATGATTTTTATATTTCCAGACCTTATTGTAATGAGGAATTTAAATATTCAATATAATAGTCGACGATGCATCACAACTGTTTCAATTGTTCGTAGGTAATAAAAAATATAATATTCCACGGTCCCATCCTGAACCACGTCGGAATAAAACCTTTGTACAGTGCTAGAACTCCTTCATTTTTAATCGTCTACATAGAAAAAATATTTTCCTTGTAAATAGATATAAACTGTGCGTAATAAATATATAAATTATATACTACTTAACAAAAAATAGGAAGCACTTTAGACACGCTCAAAATTATGCAATATTCAGAACACCGTAACTCGGTGAAAAATTATCGCAGACAAAAAATTAAAAAAAGTTTGAAATTTCTACTTTCGAAATCGAGAAAAATGATCACTTTTGCTTCAAAGTTCAATAATTTGATGAAAAAAAATCATACAGCACTCAATAAAAAAAAATTGAAGGTAAAAATTCATCCTTTCGACTGCCGTAAACTATTTTTGTGTGCATTTTACTTCACGCCATAGATCTTTGTAAAGTCTATAAAAAATTTTCAAATTTGACGAATATCCATTTGTGTTCGTATATCTCCATAAAAAATCAGTCAGATTGAAATATCAATTACCGATTTCGAAAGTAGTTATACCTGAACCAAACAATCTATACTGCCACTGTAAATGTATGATGAAGCTTTCTTACTAGCTATGTGCACTCTCTTTTGATTCATCAATCGGGTCTAAAGAGAAAGATATCTTGAAAGAAAAAATATTTCAATTATGTTGTACAAATATATAACAATTTACTTACGCGAATTACGTCTATAGGCGTTGAAGCTACAGCACTTCCCATACTAGCTACAAAACTAGATCTAAAAGATATAGTCACATTTAAGTACACATTCATTCTATAATATATTTAAATTATGTTAATTTAATTAAAAGTACTTTTTAATTATGAAATTTTTATTATTTGTAAAATTGTAATTAGTAATATTCTCGATTTATTTTAAGATTTTTAACTGCAATTTTACATTATAAAGCAAAATTAACCCTTATCCAGACATTATAGAAAATTAAGAATGTATAATACCATGTTTATGCGATGATAATCAATATTTTAATAGAGCAAAAGTATGTTTCCAAACATGAACAGAAATAAAAACATAGACAAAATAGGATCTTTTTACAGTAGAAAAATTAGGAAGTTATCATCAATGGATAACGAGTAATCTTAAAATGCATAAATGCTAATCAAAAGATGTTTGCAAAGTAATTTATCATGTATAATTATCTGGACGATTGTCTTAACGATACTTGAACTAAACACAGAGTGCCGAACACAGCTTCCGTGTCAAGCCTCTCTGGTCATCTCAAAATCCGTCTATCGCATGTGTCCATACGCATGACAATATCAAAGGACCTGGAAATAAAATTTTAATTTTAAGAGAGTTTTTACTCCTATGACAATGTGCGACATATGGAATACTTCAAAAATTGCACAATTGTAGACACTAAAAATATAATGAAATTGAAGTGTTAGTTCCAAATAAAATTAACTTCTACATTAAAAGAGATAAATACTTGATTAATTATTTCAATATCAAAACATCTTGCTAAATATTGGTGCAAACAGCTAATAAATTAAGTTATTACTTCATTTTAAGTGCATTTTAATCACCTCGCTTAATAGATACCAGCAATTTGATTATTAATATTAAAAATTAATACTTGTATACATTTATATATTCTTAAAAATAATGATAAATTAAAAAGTATGATGTTTAAATGTGCAAGAAAAGAAAAGTATATATAATATATAAAAAACACACCTCTATGTAAGCTTTATGAGTTATTAACATCCAAGCGATGTGATTAATATAATCCAGAAAAGTTTTAAGTAGTTATTAAAGTATAAAGTGTTAGAATGTAGTTAAGCTAAAACGAAATAAATTAGATTTATGTTTGAGATAAATTATTTCTAAAATATTGACAAAAATCTACAAAAAAAATTCAATAAAAAATACATAATACATACTCTTATGGAATATGTATTTTAGAATAAAAATTAATTTGTATGACAAATTTTGTAATTATTACAAGTTTGTCATATTAATCCTAAAAATTTTTGTCTCTTTCCTTATTATTCCCAATACTTTCTTTTTTATATTTTATAAATATCATAATTGAATTATTTTTTAAATATTCAGACTTAATCTCCCACATCGCAAATTGCGTTAAAAAAAATGCTCTACATGAATTTAATAAAGACTTCATTCCATTTTAATATGCAATATATTATATTACACATTAATATTAAATTACTATTAAATAGCTATAAGTACTAATCAGATTTTTCTATACATATACAATAGCAATTCACAATTATTAATCCTGTATCCTTAAGTTTCAGATATAAAATCATGTAGATACATTAACAACATTTAAAAAGAAAAAAGTTTCAGCTGTCCGGACAAGGGTTAATCGATCCTAATAATTAATAGTATAATAAATAACATACATATTGATATAAATATAGGTATGATTTAAACATACTGATAATGAATCTGTCATTTCTGTAAATAACTTTTTGTTAAAAAGCATATGTATTATTATAGACTGCATTCCACTTAACACTCACAACGCGTGGAATTACTTCATCCTTGTCAAATTAAACAAGGACAAAAATGAGGCTCATGAGCGTTGTGAGTGTTAAGTGGAACGCAGTCATAATTATCATAAATTTGAAAATGGTTTACCATTACAATCAGAAAACATATTTAAAATATTTTGGGTGTGTTCCGATATTCACTGCCAATGCTGACTATACAGTATACGCTATAGATTTTCAGCACTGGCAGTGAATATTGGAACACATCCTTTATGTTATATCTACATTTAGTGAAAAAAAACTTACACAAAATGATTACTAATGCTATTTCCCAATAAACTCATACATTTAATCTTTGTATAGTCATATATAGGTAATTCTACAGCTGCAATAACAGCTGCTCGTTGAGCAGTAGGTCCAACACCCTGCATAAAAAAATTAATCTGTATACTTCTTTATGTACACACATTCTGTACACATGTGTGTGCATATATGTATGTGTGCGTATGCTGCATATATGTATGGTAACATATTGAAATTGATTGTATTACCCTCCAAAGTCCACGAACACCTTCATATCTGTATACATCTTGAAAGCAAGTAAACAGAGATATATTTCTTTCATTGCCAGTAACTTGCATACGAACTTTTACTACGTCAGTAGGATTGGCAATCGCACTGGATATAGCTCCAGCTAATGCTGCACAAACAATATTTATTGTGACTAAATCCCCTGTTGCCCAAGTATCAATTGCAGCTTTTTTGAGTGAATAGTAAGTCCCAAACTTTATAGTTCCATATGTTGCTTGTCGTAAAATTGCAGAACTAATCCTGACAAAACAAAGTAACTATTAATTATTTAATTATACTAGTGAATTATTTTAAAAAGTAGTAATGTTTAAAATTTTAAAAGTAATTCTAATGTTATATATTGATACTAAAATTTTTTAGCTCAAAGATATAAAACATCTTTTAAATATTTCTCTATATTTGAATGAAATATCTTTGTTATTTCAAACAATATCATTAACAATTTTAAATAAAATAAAATTTAATATTAAAAAATATATTACTTTTCACAATAAAATACTCTCTCTTACCCAGAATATAAACCTTTTATTCCTTCTTGTTTAGATATCTGCATTAAAGCATCAGTCATGCCAGAATATTTTAAACGTGCAAGCTTTTCATCATACTTCTGACCTTGTACTTGTAAGCGTGTTTTTGTCGTGTCTAAAGGAAAAGTGCCTGGAATAAAAGAAATGCAAATTATTTACTATTATGCACATGCGTGTATTGAAGACATATTCCAATATACACTACCAATACTGAAAATCTACAGTATACATAATGTGAACTATAGATTTTCAGTGGCAATGCATATCAGAACATGACCTGAGTTATCTAAAATATGATTTCAAACAATAAAGTAAGAATATTTTTTAATTATTTTTCATTCACTTACACAACTCTGCAACAATCGAAGCTAAACCTCCATATACGAAAGGTCTCCAATCCTTCCAATTTTTTTCTCCCATCACCAGTTTTTGATCTTATTAAAAGGCAAAGATAATAATATAAATGTGATCTAATAAAGAATGTAAATGTTACAGGAAAATAATCGACATAAATGTAAAATGTTTTACTTTTTCCTTTCTTCTCATATATGTCAATATTCAAGTAAATTCCAAATATAATAAAGAGATAACATATTGATACAAATTTCTCTCTCTCGCATATATTTTAGGTTAGTTCCAACACATCGACTGCGTTTGGAAACATCCAGAAACATCTATGGTAGAAGGGATAATATGGTGTGCTCAATTTGCAAGCGTCTCTCTCGAACTCTGCCGTCTCTGTCTATAGCTGTGTTCCAAAATTTACTGCAGTACTGAAAATCTATAGTGGACGTAAACTATACGTGACGTAAACTATAGATTTTCAGAACTGGCAATAAATTTTGGAACACAGCTTTCATTAGGTGTTTTCGGCTCGACCGGGTTTGCACCAACTTGGGTTAGAAAATGTTTTATTATTGGTTACACGCATTATCAATAGGAGACACTGAACTATACACTGGAATGGGCATTGAGGAAAATTCGTGGCCACAATTGATCAGCCGCCATTTTAGTTGGAACGATATTTGAACGAATCAGAAGCGCCCGCGCTGCTATCGATGTATCGATCGATGTACTATCGATGTATGGAAATATACATGAATATGAATGATATGTAAACAAAAATAATGTCACTTCAATTTTATTAATATAATACATTCAATAAAATAACATTAACAACACTTTTCATATCCTACATCGTGCAGGATTTGATACATTTAATACAAAAATTCTTACCTATGAAATGAAATGCCCTTTTTATTTTTCTGCCCACACACAGCACTTCATATTGATACATCACACATGATTGATTTTGTTGACATATGCGTCTTACTAAAGAACACTAAATGTAAGAGCACTAATATAAGCAGCTGAAATCTTCCGATTCGCTCTTACATTGATCAAATTAAAATGGTGCTGATCAATTAGTGTCACGATTTTCTATATTCACAACGGAGATACCCATTCCAGTGTATATATAGTTCAGTGTCATGAACACATGCCTTTAAAGAGAGAAGTTTGCAAATGGAGCACATTATAGCTGCATTCCACTTAAGGGAACGTTTATATTGGCCGTAACTGTATGCCGTAATCTGTAAAAATTGACCAATCACCTTCGAGTATTTCCTTCTTACTACCGAATGAAAGGAGAATACTTGACTGTGATTAGTCAATTCTTATAGATTATGGCATACGGCATATGGTTACGGCCAATATAAACGCTCCGTAATGCATGGTCTACAATGGGCAGTAACAGTAGCGTATTAAGGAGTAGGCGTGGAAATCGATCAATCATAATTGAATGTGAAAAAAATAATCAGCTATGATTGGTCGATTTCTATGCCTACTTAATTGTAAACCATGCATAAGGGCTGACGCACACAAAATTTCATAACGGTATACGTAAGATGTAAACTTAAGCTGATGAGCCAATCAGGATACTGCTTTAGATCTACGTATTCTAATGGAAATAGAAATAACCGTTATCCATAAGGCGAGTTTCAACCGATTGAAATTCACCTTATTGCGATGTTATAGATAAGTTTATTGTTATTTCCATTTCCATTAAATTACGTAATCTAAAGCAGTATTCTGATTGATTCATCAGCTTAAGTTTACACCTTACGGATATTGTTATGGAATTTTGTGTGCGACAGCCCTAAGGCCTTTTCTACAATAGAATCGAGCAATTTGATCGCTTTTGTCATTTTTACCTTGTTTGAAGATACAGAAATTGATCTCCTGGGTATCAATCATGAAACTGTATCCTAGAATGAAAAATGAAAAGTGAAAAATTTCTCCATTAACTTCAATGATTAAAATTTTCACTTTTCACTTTCCATCCTAGGATAAAGTTTCATGATTGATACCCTGATTTTAGGACTACTTTCACCAAACTCCGATTAACTTAATAGGCTTAGTAACTTTGTAGGATTCCAACTGAAACTGATGCTGGAGAAAAAAATGCAAAGAGAGAAGTTATAAATATAGATTTGTAATACTAACTTATGTAGCAAGGTTTCTCTCTGATATCTGTTTGTTAATATAATAATCTATTTTTGTGTTCAATATATGTATAAATTACAGTTAATTATAATTAGTAAAATATATAATTTAACTCTTCAGTTTACATTTTTTCTCCGATTTCAGCTTCAGTTGGAATTTTGCAAAATTAGAGGCTCCGCACAATAAAAGGAACAGGGAATAGAGAACAGAGAATAAGAATTTCAATTTATAAAAAAATCATGTATTGTGGAATACTGTCTCAGGGTGGTTCGGCAATTCACGGTTTCGGATTAACCTGAGACTATAGGTGAGATACGGAACTCGCGCGCTAGAGAAAAAAGCGGCCAAGCGTGACAATACACAGTTTCTGATAGGTTGAAATTCTTAAGGTAAAATCACACGGTCCGGAATACAGAATGCGTCATTAAAGCAACCAATCAGCGCTATTCCGTACTTTTCCATTACGTAAGTTTTGTGTGCTATGCTCACATGATGCGTCAAAAATGTATATCCAACATGAATATAATTTCAAAATTCATGTTAATAATTTGCTTATTAAAATAAAATATCATTTATCAAATTGTAAAAACAATTATCACTATTGCAGCATTTAATGTTTTCTAATTAATATTTACAATTTCATGAACAATTTTTTGAACTGCTTTAACGCATTTACTATCATTTTTCCGTATCGTGTGAACATAGCACACAAAACTGGCGTGATAGAAAAGTGCGGAAAAGGGCACACTGAAATCGCACGTAATGCATCATTGTTTATTTGATCTTGGTATCTATATTTATGCACTCAGATTTTGTCATTTTTCATTCGTCTCGACATTACGCAATTCCATCATATCAATCAGCATCAAATTATTTTAACCTCTCAAAATACAACAGTTTATTACAAGACAATGACGCACTCGCTATTCCATAACATCAAATGCGAAATAGCGCTGAGTGATTATTTCAATGACAATGACGCATTCTCTATTCCGCAGCCCTTTTCCGCATCGTGTGATTTCACCCTTATTCTCTGTTCTCTGTTCCCTGTTCCTTTTATTGTGCGGAATCCCTTACTAAGCCCGTTGAGTTAATTGGAGTTTGGTGAAAGTGGCCCTTAATCACACTTTTCACAGCCTAGTTCGGCCTCCTATTCTCTATACTCCATGCTTTCCATAATACTTTCATGATGATTATTGTACGCAGCCCAAAATGCTAACTTTATTGGTAATACAGGTGACTTGAGAATCCCATCCCATCGAGTCTCGCGGAAGAGATGTCGCTAGGTGGATGTTGCATTGCAATAGTAGCAATCTGGCAATAGTGCTACGGGCGAATATTAGTTTTTAGTTCACTCAGCGAAACTAGGTGGTGCTAAACAGCGTCAGTCTCGGTGAGTCTGGAGTCTGGGCGAGTTCTCGTCGTTCTCGATGAAAATCAGTGAAAATGGAGCCGCTTGAATGAAGGTGGGTGATTTTGTGCGCGCGCGTGAGTCCGAAAAGTGTTATTTTTCGGAGATGTGGCAAGATTTGGGCGGTCTAGGGAGTGTAGGAGTGAATTCTGGTGCTCATCAGGTCGATCAATTTGGAACGACGGGTAAGATATTTATCGATAAATTCTCAGAACGTGTACCATGTCTGGAGTCTGTTGTCTGTGGAGCGAAAGCCAACATATATCGAGTCTTTCTCCACGATAAGAGCGCACGCGCTTCACGCTCTTCTCCATCGTGTACGCAATATCTATATATACTGAATATACGCATAGTCACGCATAGTAAACAAAACGGAAGGACGTTGACAATGAGTTTCCTTCAATTTCCTTGCGTCCTCGCCCCAAGATCTCATCACACTCGTCACACTCGTCACTCCCAAGATGTAGTGAGAATCGATGTCGAGACACGCTCGATTATTTTCTTTTTCTTTTTTTTTTCTTTCTATCGCTCCATCTATTCCAAGATCTTGTATCTGTAACGTCGAGCTCTCGGGAGAGAACAAGTTTCAACAATTCAAGCAAATTATTTCCGAGAAGCAAGCCTTCGGAGAAATATACTCGTGTTATTTTTATTAACAATAACATACATATTCTATTAAATATCACTGAGAATATATAGATTATTAATTTAGGATCAAAGTTACTTACGTGTACATCTCTAATTAACATTTGAGAAGTATCTAAAAGTACTTAATCGATCGTGTTTTTTTAGGAAACAAAAAAAAACGTTTAGTAAGTATTCATTGAGCATTGTACGTGCACATTGATTGCAAGTCTTATCACGGATCGGAGATAGGACCGTTACAGCCGCAGTTACAGTCGTCGTGCCTCGAGAGTTTTAATCGTTCTCTTTTGCTATTTTGGCGGTTCAATTGTCACATATTAGCGTATGTGCTATCCAAATTAGCTAAACAAATTAGCTTTTCGAGAGGAACGCAGCGCGGCATCGCGACGCGTATCGATTATACATGTATGTATATAATCTCTGTGTTGTGCAGGGTTGGCATTATTTTACCTACTTCAAAAAAATCCAGGAGATTTTTTGGGGTTTTATTGGGATTTTGTATAAGAAAAATAAATTTTTTAATTAATAATTTTTTAACACATAAAAGGAACGCATTTATAAATATTATATTTAATGAATATAGGTACATTAAACTAAATGGACTGATATAATGTTAATATATTATACTGAAATTTTAATACATACAGGGTGTACAAAAAGTCCCGGACTTCTTAAATTTAAATATCTTGAAAACATATTTTCAAGAAAAATGTTTCAGAAAAAAGTTGTAAGGTTTAAAAAGATCTTCTAATCATCCATCTGACCTTGGCAACGTCACCCGATGTCAAATGTGATCATAGATTTTTTAAACCCTACAACTTTTTGTCTGAAACATTTTTCTCAAAAATGCTTATGATAGTATTGTATATAGTATTAATATTTAAATGTGTAATATAATTTTATTTAAAGGCATACTTTTTAATGCATATTTGATTTTATAAGTTCTCTTTCCATAAATTTATTTAAAATTGTATCTAAATTACATTTAAAAATCTATAAAATATATAATATACATTCACCGCTTTTGAGTTGATTTTTTTTATATCCAAATGCTTTTTATTATTTTATATATATAATATTTATATATGTACCCTAATTTATTGAAAGAAATACTATTATTTCAGCATTTATTGTTGTACGAAATTTTCTTTTCTGAGGAAGTACAATATAATAATATATAACTTACATGCATAAAATAAAAAAAAAATAGTTTAATTTGATTAAGAATCGATTAACTATTAATTCAACTCTGGCGAGTTGAAAAGTCGAAACTATTCGCCAACACAACGGATCGTATATCGAAATATCTACGTTGTTGTTCTGCGATCTATATGCAGTCTTAATTCGAAAGCCCTATTTTTAGACCTTTCCGTAAATTACTGCTAACGAGGTGTCTCCTTCCCAACGGGGACACGAGACATTCCAATCTGTAATCAACTAATCATCCCTTCCTTGAACGATTATTATTCGAGAATGCGTTGAAGAGAGAAAGTTTATTGTCCGTATCCGCACAAATTTGGCAAGAAAACGCACACACACACACACACACGCACACACACACGCGCGCGCGCGTTTTGACATTAGGATCCATATTTGTAATTCGATGATTATCTTATTGTAGAATTGACTCCCGAGCAAGAGAAGATCCTGCTAGATATAAGGCGAAAGAAAACGGAATTGCTGCTTGAAATACAAGTGAGTATGTTAATTACTTGAGCTAAGTATATTAATAATACTTTGTTTTATTTTTAAGTATATTAGTTGGCATTCGTAATGTTTATTATTATGACAAATAGAAAGATGCATAATGTGATGACATTTTATCTATGAAACGGAAATGATATCATTCGTCAAGAATTTTTACATGTATATACCTACATAGAACAAAATGACACATGCACTCGTCGAAAGTCTTGTTTACCACTCGTAGTTGCAAAGATGTCAAGTGAGTCTGATGTTTTACCGATATATTCCATAGATCTATGTGCGATAGGCACTGGTACTTACAATTGCAATGAATATGTCTGAGAGAGATAAATATGTAAATAGGAAATCAAATTTAAAAGGGAAAAGAGTCGTTTATTATAATTTTATTATTCAGGAATCTGTCTGCTTGTAATTATTTCGATCCGATTTAATTTTTTTGGAATAATGTTTATCAATTATAGAATTTGAAGACGCAAAAATAATCTCTACATGTTTTACATGTATTATAATAATTAACGCAACGCTGCAATGACTGATAATACTGACTGTATTATCTATCTATACAGCCAGAAAAATTTCAGGATGTTCTTATGATAAGACTGTTTCCGCAATGTCTCGATAGTCTCGCTTACTCATCTGTTTATATCTATTTAAGGAAACGAGATGTCACATAGATAGTAATATGCCCGAATACAAAAATTTGTAATTGAACTCCAAATTGTATTTATTTAAATTGTATTTTTTCACATAAAACAAGTGTAATCATATATTCATTCAAAATTTTGAATTTTCAAAAAATATTTATTCACAAAAAACTATGAATATTTAACGAGTATTCATATTCATTCGAACAAAATATAAATTGAAAAAGAGAGCTCCAATAAGCAATCGTTACCTCTTAATTATAATCGGTACTTTGATGATTTTAAGTAAAAAAAGAAAAGAATTTTATAGGATGATTTTTAAATTTCATCACAACATGTTTTATACGAATCTTTTTCATTTATTCAATATTGTAATATACTTAACTGCAATGTTATATGGGATTGAGAACGCAATCACTTGTTAACCAAGAAAACAACTTTTTTGTACGATATTTGTGCTTTTCTCATTTTCCGACTGGATAGAAAATATTCTTTGTTAATATATTAATTATGTATTTGCTGAAGATGGCTAAAACCGATAGCCGAAACATTCAAACTAACATCTATTAATACACATTATTAATGATTATATAAGTGTAGATTGCACACCTTTTATCGCGCTGACTCCAAAGTAGTCCCCTTAAATCTGTATTATATTGAATTTTATTTATTTTTGTCATTATAATATTCAGATTTTATAAAGGAAACTTGAAAATTTTGAAAAATATTTTAGAAAGATATACATTTTTTATTTATAAATCTATCTATTTGATAGAATGCCACACATATTTCGATATAATTCCAGTTATATGACTAATGTTATAAATATTTTATAGGATATCTTTGGCGCGACGTTCATTAAGGTCTGTGGACATTAAATTTTGAGATATATTATTTATTCTTAATAAAAATGTCTTTTTTAAATCTATAAGTTAAACAAGGATGTCCATGTCGTATAAGTCGCGACCTAAGCGATGTAATCATGCGCTGTTAGCCATGTTTTTATAGATTTCTGTTTTCTCTTGTAGGCTTGCAAGCTATATGCAGACAATACAGAGTAAAAGTGAATACGAAATGAAAATATTCGTAATTATATTTAAAAAATATTCATTCAAATGAAATGAAAAAATATTTATTTGTTTCTTAACGAATAGAAAAGAAATGTATTCGAATGAATATTGTCATTCATTTTTTATTCATTTATTCGAATATTAGGTGTATTCATCGGACACATCAATAGATAGAAAAAAATCACAACGCGCTCTCACTGCACTTAAAATAAAAATCTTGTTTTCTCCTATTTCTATTCGAAATTCGAACAACACGCTCGTTGCTTCACTCGTTCGTTCACGGAATCTGTGGATATCAAAACAAATTCGTAGTTCGTAGCGGAACGTCCGTTTAGTACGCGATTTGCCGCGATTGCGATACTATATCGTGATTTACGATATATAAATACCAACCGTTTAGACAGTAAATATCAAACGAAAGGAATCTATAAGGCTTCGAATAAGTTTTATAAAGTCGTTGCATGGTTTAACAGGTTTACTCGGGCGTCAATGACACGAAACTTGTACGCGTTTCGAGACAATTGGCGCGGATTCGGGACACGCTGGTTGTGTTGTCTAACGTTTGGTATGCGAAGCAGACGTCGTCGACAGGTGATACGATTATTAGTTTTTCAAAGATGCATTAATTTACTAGATTTCTACTCGTGTGGTAACCGACGGTGCCGATTATCAAGTTACTATGTATATACTCAGGGTCGATAACGAATAGATTATGTATGCGTGTAAGTAATTAACTTGACTGATCGCTGATTCAACATTCTTAACAACATCTGACGATTTAGATAATTATGATTTCAAATCTCTACTTTATTTTCTCGAGCGAATAGTTGCGAAACACATATACATATAAGAAGTTGAATTTGTGCGCGCGCGATTAGCTATTAGACGTTTCTACAATAAATGTGAATTATGAGTTATGAGACATACTTATGTCAGTTATAAATTTCTTTCTTTTCGATCGTTTGCGTAGCAATCTGCTATGTTCACACGGATATAATTCGAAGGGGAAAAAAGATGATGAATCTCAGAAACTATTATTTCGGAAAACTCTAGGAACACATCCGGCCACAAGGAAATTAATAGCGCAATAGAATATTTCTAATTGAGAAATCTTTCCAGAAATTTCATTATGTATAATATAAAAGAGACCGATCTTTGTGTGGACGGTAACGTTGATAACATTGGAAATGAATGAAATTGATTGCGCGCACGCAAAGATTAAAAAGATAATTTTCATAATTTATTCTGCAGAACTGTTCAAGCGTTCAAGCGTCTATAATAAAAATGTTACGCCAATGATATGTATCTTTGCGATTTTTATCCAAGTCGCGGTGATACAGCTGAGTAAAGTAACTTAAGTTACTTTAGATAATGTTTTTGTATAAATGCAGATATGTACTATTAGATACTATCGCAGGGTGACGCAGTAATTCCCCAGTAAAGAGGAAGCAGAGACGTGCAGCTGACTATTAGCTGACACATCTATTTCGTACTAACATCATTCAACGACACCAACGTCATTGACGCGCCCGCCTTCCCTTCCCTTTCCTTCCGTTTCGTTCCGTTCCGTTCCATTTTTTCATCGAATGACAACGTAGATACGCGAATTGCGAGCACGTAAACGATCTTTTCGCGACCAATCTTGTGAATTGTATCACTTATCGCGCTCACGAAAGAATCAGAAAAAGAGAGGGGGGGAGGGGGATCATTTGACCGACTCTGAGTCAATTCTGAGTCATTCAATTCGACGCGACGATATTGTCATTGACGTTGTCAAACTATTACGCACGAATTTTATCAGATCTCGAATAATCTGATATGGATCTGTCAGATACGTACAGTGAGAAAAAAATATAATTAATTTTAATAAATATTTAATTCAATACTGCCAATTAAGTATTTATTTACAGTAAATAAATGTGTAAGTATATGTGTTCAGTAAAAAAAAGACTGTTAAATCAAATTAACATTTCTATCAAATAAATATATCTTTATATTTAATAAATATTTAGTTGGCAGTTAGTATTCAATTAAATATTTATTAAAATTGACTATATTTTTTTTCAGTGTTAGACTCGTTGGAGATACATTAATACACAAATAATAGAAATATTTGTACGGGACAGTTAATCGCGCGACCGCAGCGAGGCGCCAGCGTGCCTGATTCGTACGGTGCCCGCCAGATTCCAGAAGCAGAACCGTCCAACCGTCAGAACACTCAGAACTCGGAACCAACCGCAGTTCACCGCAGTTCACCGCAGTGGCTAGTGGCTGCCACTCGAGACTTCAGAGCAGTGCCGAGACCGAGTCGACTCGAGTCACACACGCGATTTGTGCGGGTCGCTTTCGCGCTTGAAATTTGAATGCGATCTCGACGCTAGTCAACAGCGCGTATGCGTGTACGCGTAAGGAATTTCACTTTCTCACGGTGCTTTAGACGAGAATCGAAAGAGACGGGGTGTAATTGTAGACGATAGGGATTAAAGGTACGAAAAGCGTCGTCGTCGTCTTCGTTGCGTCGTTGCGCCGCACTCAGGTCGTTGCACTTCCGACCGCGTGCTCTACGTGCTCTATGTACTCCGCGACCTTTGCACCTCGTCTATTTCTCGGCGCGAACCCGAGCGATGTCCGATCGTAACGGGGAGTATGGTGAAGAAGGCGGGATTGGCGGGAAGCCTTCGCGAAGCGAATATCGTCTTTTCGGCGGGAAGACGGAAAGAGGCAAGTGAAGGCGCGGCAACTCGCGACCGGGTGACCGGGTGACCGAGAATGATCTTCACCGGCAGATCTGTAGACGGTCTCGACGAGGTGCGAGGCGGCAGTGGTGCGAATGATATTCAGCAGGGCGGTGCCACCGGTGGACGCCGAGACATAAGCGCCGTCGCTATCGCTGCCGGATGGTTCTCCAGTTTGCGGAGACCCGGCAAGAGGAAGAAGAACTGCCAGAAGCAAGCTAAGAGCGCCTGGGACCTCACCGTATTATCCACCACGGTCAGTCCAACACGGAACAGCAAGGCCGTCATTTCGTTTCATTTCCATTTTCCTGCCTCAGTCATTGTTCAATTTTTATTTTGTAGGTACACATATACGCTTTAGGCGTAGAGGATTTAATTGAAAGAATATCAGGAATATCAAGAATATAAAAAATATTGACGCGAAAACGATTGAAAACGATACGCCTAAAGTCCCGCGATCCTTCAAGGTCGACTCGCCAGATTTATTTCTAGAAATTCTACATCTATCGTTCGCAGCTTAACCGCGGCGCTGCGTCGTCGAACGTTGTATTCGCGGGAATAACGGTTTCGAATTTGTTCAAGGACGTTGTATTCACCTTGAGAAAATAAGTACTTCAAACTTCAAATCTACTGATAATAAAAGTCAATACGTGGTCAAATATTGAAACGAGAAAATTTCCTAACGGCAATTTCCCAACTCAATTCATGTCCATGTTCCACTTGATGTTCCGACATTACTGTACGCGAGCTTTTGGATCTCTTAATATTCACTTTATGCTCCTTTATCCTTGTTTTAACTTTCCTTTTAATCTGACCAACATATGAAACATCGCAATCGAGGCAACTTATTTTATATACAACATTACAATGTTCCATTATGTCTTAACTTATCCTTACCTAATCTATTGATATTTAATAGACTTTTGTCAATTGCGAAAGAAATAAGAGTCACATGCGCGCGTACGTTGTAATTTTTCAAGTAAGAATGACATTAAAGTTTTAAACACGTCGCGCGTAATAAGATATCGCATAATATTTTCAAGTTTCGATAACAATTCGTTGGCGTGAAAATCAAAATGACAATTCAAGTTACGACCTATAACATCATAACATCCATATATGACTCGTCTAGAAAGACGAAAGTGAAGAATCAAATGCGAGATAGATGTTGATCGCTTCTATGCATATACTAACATGTTACGTGAATGTAAGATTACGTGTATAATGAGAAGATGGAATTGAAGCCGTCTGACAATTGCCGGGTGATAGCAATCGCGAAAATACATTTGTCGAATATTTAACGTAAACGTTTATTACTTTCGTCAATAAGGTAATATCGCGCAAGCAACGTCATGAATTGAAGAGGCTTATTTATAGAAGAAACTGAGACGGGGACGCACTAGGTCGCGTCGCGTCGCGTCGTAGGTATAATATAACGTGGTAATGATATACAGCAGTGATGTGCAGGCCGTAGATCAAATGATAGAATTAAGTATATACACTTCTCTCAACATGACGCGATTTATCTCGAGGATATAAATAATTAAAATTAAACTACGGCTCTCGATAATCTCGGTATATAGTTACATCATCTGAGGAAAGCAACGAACTGAGCTTTCTCACCCTTCTTTTTCTTCTCCCTATTTAGTCCTGTATGGTAAAAGAAATTAGCCAGGTCAGTGATAGATTGAACCAACCGTTCGAATTCAATGATACGATGACACGGGCATATAGCGATATGGAGCGAAAGTAGATCGATAACTTACACTTACCGCGTACATACGCATAACGCTAGATTTAAATAGCCTACTTTGACACTCTTTCACCCGAGGTGTACGCATTTACCCGCTAAGAGAGATAAATATAATCCCTGTACGCGATGAACGAGGCGAAAGTTTGACCGGCTCGACCCATATACTTGTTCCTGATTTGTGAGCGTGAGCATGCGGTTAAGAAAAAGTATATTAGGCAAAGTGTAATCGCGTAGATCAAGTCGTCTATGCAAATAATTGTTGTTAAAACGAGAGAACACGTAAGTGTTGTAAATACTAAAGTCTATATACTCCATGTCATTTGCCAAACAGAAAGAAAAGCAATATACGAAATGAAAACTAGTTAGTGATTTGATGAATATAATTATAATGGCGGATGGACCATTTGATCTATTTCGCACGACGATTAATTTAACGCCGATTAAGTGATGAATTAGCGAAAAGTTAATTGCGGCTCTCGCTGGTGATGCTGACACCTTGTTCCTAAATAATCGCGAGAAATATTTGTCATTTAGAATATGATATATACTTATACGTCTATATCGATCATTACCGCGAATAATAGAAGCAAGCATAATAGCATCTTAGAAGGCATTAGAAGTTAAAATCAATGTGCATTGTTAGACTAATCAGCAATTCGTGTGTTTTTTTTTTTGCTTACATCTTAATTTTATTGTTAAGTTGATTGATTTATCAGTGAAAAATATAAAAAAGCTCATCAGAGCCTACATCAGCTATTCGGATACACAGAACATTCTTTATTTTTGTGTGAATGTAACAAAACGAATAAAATAAATGTTTCGACCCTTCAATTCTTTATCAATATAAAATATAAATCGAAATTACATAAGTAATGCAAATTCCAAGCTGATGATTCCCGATAATTTAGTTCGTTCTTCTTTATCCAAATTTGATTGATTTATATGTATAGAAAGAATTTCAGTTCATCTAGGTGCAGAAAATTATTTTATTTGGACTATCAAAATAATTATATAGTCGATTGCTAGAAAAATTTTTCGCAGCACTGCAGTCATAATTATGTTCCACATAATGATTTTCAAATTTGTATCTAGATCAATTTTTAGAGGTTTTTTTTTTAGCAAAATTTTCATTCTTCCCACATGCAGCCACGTTCCCAGCATCATTATCGTGCGATTAATTTTAACAATACGATCCCGTTCTCGTTCTGCGCATTCAGAACTTTGTTTTTCACATTCTTTCATAATAATCAGAAAAAGACGTGGCATATAAGTGGATAACGGATAACGGATTTGTCGTGAAACCTTAAAAGTTTAAGTCATTGTCCGTTACACTCGAGTAATGAGAAAAACACTTGTATGCTTTCGCGTTTTGCGTGCGTTTCTTCCGCGAATTCATAACTCTTGGATTGCAGCCAAACACTCATTGCAGTTTTCTACGACTCGGAAAATCCGCGTAGCATTTTGAACTAGTCCGTCCATTTCTTCACTGTAACGCGCATCTATTGCGCTCTTCTTGGAGAAAAGAAAGAAAAAAAGGGAGTTATCATCTTATCATCCAGGTTTATAATCAATCGTGTTCATTAGTCGTATGATTAGTCAGGAATAACGAAACGAAACTGTATGTTTTCGTTTAAGTTATCGGTTTGAATAAAAATGGATTATCGTTTGGTGAGCTTTGACCATGCGATTTCACGAAATAAATTATTTTATGATGGTTTTCGTAAATTTTGCACATTTTTAAAACGAAAAATTTGTATATTACATTAAGAGTAAAAATAATCATAAATTACCTACAGTGAGTGCAAAAAGTATTTATACAGAGAAAATATTTTTTAAAAAAAACTTTATTTTTGAAAAGTAAATATTATCCAGCGAAAAATGAGTCATCGAATTGATGTCGAATCGATATCGATGATTTCAACACTAATTGAACGTTTAATTGACGATTTCTTGATGGGTAATTAACAATTTATTCATAAAAAATAAAATAGACTGTACGTTTCTTAAAATTATATACCAAAAAGATGTGTATTAATTATAGAAAATATATCATTTGAAAAGTAAGCGAAAATTAAAAATTCTATTGTTTGGATCCTCAAAAAGTATTCATACAGTCGAGAAATTTAGCTTCTAAAATCAGGAATACAAAGCTCGTTTGCTTATGTTAAAATATATTCATTATATAAAATTGCTAATTAATGTTTATTTTTTACAAATAAGACTTTTTTTATAAAAAATTTCCTTGTACGAATACTTTTTTACTCTCACTGTATATATTTGCGCATTATTGTAAAACATCTTTAGAGTATAGGTAGATACACATACTAACAATATACTCGTAATAAAACATATAATATTTAATATTTGAGAGTATATTTGTATTTTTTTTTTACGCAACATGATGTATATACATCAAATACATACGTATTATATATTATTATGTGTAGGCCCAAGCAGAATAAGTCATCATGATATCAAAATGATATCAAAATGATCATTAAAAGTCATTTTTTAATCATTTTCGATTTATTTTAATATCAGTTTTTTTAACGTGACTTGTTTTGCTTGAGGATGCATATTATATTTATCGTCAGAATTACTCGTAAAAAGTTTTATCTATATTATTTTCTTTACAAATATTTTATACATTGTGATAAGAAAATTCTTGTTTCTCTTATTTATATATTATATAATACATACATCATACCATACGAATAGCTATTTCCCATTCAAATTGGATTTGAATACGATTTATCGTATCGGATTCCAAATATGTATTTATACAACAGTAACACCTTGTTAAGAGTTTATATTAATCGCGACAATGGCAATACGATATAACGAAAAACGAGAATGAATGTCATTATAAAGAACACATGTTCGTAAAACACAATTAGTTTTCGAGACAACGCTCAGCCCAATGTAATGTTAAATCATCGCACAGGCATGCAATTTGTTTGCGTACGGCTTTCATGACGCAGACTGGTTACAAAACTTGTGTATAGCATATACATCTAACTTGGTACCAACCGGATAAAGTAGCATCTAATCGAATGAGAACGGAAACTTTCGCTCTTCGTTTAACCGATTAGTTGTATCGTCACGATACTGAAATTAAAGGAGACACGATGAACAGTATATAGATTATTATGTGTATTGTACGTAAACGTTATTCTTTCAGAAGATTTACTTGCATTAAATTTATCGACACACGCACGCACAGCTATAAAATATTGTTTTTCTCAAACAATTCCATATAGGATTTTACAATCGGCTCAACACTGAGCCAATACTAACTGCTATAGTTCCGGTAAGTATAATTAGAGCCTAAAAGTAGCTAAAAGGTTACAACAGGTTTTTTTTTCGATGGGTTTCGGAATGCAGCTAATCGAACCATCAGTTCTTATTCATGGATCGACAAATAAGAAAAATTAGCAATCACTCAGTAAGTAGGCTGCATTCCGAAATCCATTTTAAAAAAAGTTGCAATTTTTTAGGCTCTG